CCAAAAATCCGCAGATGGCTTCGGAAAAATGAGCTTTTATGTTTTTATCAAGATTTTTTTTGCAAAAAATCCGAACATGTTTCACATTCATTGGTGACAACTGATTTTGATATAGATAATTTCAAGTTTCTGGTAGGGAAAAAAAACAAAAACCCAAACTTTCATACTCTCATTCAAAAATATAGTTTCAATTTTGATTAGGAAGGAGTGTTAGATTCAAAAATTGAAACATTAAAACAAAGAATTAGGTTTCTCGCGTGATTTTTCTTCTATTCTTATAAATACTGGAGACAAAAGTTGCAGTTTTTATTCAGTATACATCAATCAAACAGTAATCATAGAAGCTTCTTAGCTTATTTTCGTAATTCACCGTAACTTTTCTTTCATAATTTACCGTTCAGTTTCGAAAGAAGAAAAGAGACTGCTGTTGACTGTTGCAATGTTTGTTTAAGGGTCAATGAACGTGGTGAAAACTCTTCTAAAGGGTTTGGGCGATTTTTTGTTTATCTAACACGGTCTCAAAAATTTATTTCTTGGTCGCGCCGTCTCTGCTTTGGGCTGGAAAATGGCATCGTCTCCGCATTGGTCTGGAAAGTCATGCCGTCTCCGCTTTGGTGGTCTGGAAAGTCGCGCCGTCTCCATATCGGTCGCAAAGGTCACAAGGAAATGTCTCTTCGTCCCGCCATATCCGCATTGATGTAGAAAGTCGCTCCGTCTCCGCCTTTCCTGGAAAATCGCGCCGTCTCCACCTTGATTTGGAAAGCCGCGTCACTTGCACTCAAGGCCGCGAGGAATTGTTTGCTAGTCGAGCCGTCTCCGCCTTGGTATGAAAAAGGGAACCGTCTCTGCCTTGGTCTGGAAAGCCGACACTCTGATTCCAAAAAAACATCGCAGTTTGAATTGAAAACAAAACTTTTTTTTCCAAATTAAGAATATAAGAATAGCATATATACAAGCATTCAAATTAGGGAGATCTGACAATATTCAATAGATTTTTGCCTTAATGTGAAAACTATAGCTGTATTTCGCAAATTCAAGTTTAAAAATTGAAAAAAAAACACCACACTTTTCCAACCATTATTTTAAAATACTCGAAGTTTTGTCAAAATTTGTAAAAAGAAAACAGCGTGTTTTCAGAAACCTTGCACTCCGAGAAACCTTACGGAAAGAGAATGCATTGATGAAAGCTATGTTGCAACTTCATAACAAACATCGTGAAGATGCTAATCTACTTGCTCTTCAGTATGACCCTTTATTAGGCGAGTACATGCTCTTTGAACTATTCTGTCAACTTTCAATAGTTTTCCGACAAATCTGTCAATAATCAGATTTCTAAAAATTTATTCACTTGTTGCTGAAACTAACTCAAAGAAAAATCACAGTACTAAATGGAAACAGAGATGTTGCTGCAAAACTAAAGTTATTTTATAGGGAGTCTGCTCAGCAACCACTTCAATACTTTCTAGAAAAGTTTGGGATCTTTAACTGCGTTTGAATTACAAAAAGATTTAAAGTATTTTAGTTGCTCGTTTGCTACTTTCAAGTGCTTATTTTTAAATTGGTTTATTGGACCTAACAGTCAAGAATAAAATTGCTTAACACTAAGCAGAAGAATTATTCAGTTTCATGCAAACTGTCAACCAAAAGCATATTCTATTGAGTACCAAAAAAACCCTTAATAAATCCGATTTTTTATTTTGTTTTGACATGAACTGTCAACGCAAAACGATTTTTTTGCTGGAAAATTCTTGTCATCCAGTTTCCATATATGGACATTTTCTGGTTAGCAGTTTTTATGATGCCAGAAATATATATTTTTTGGTGCCTACAAAGCATGGTTTCATACATATGATTGCATTGATGAATGTCTTCAGTGATGAGCACTTTTTAGGTCAAAATCCAGTTGGTTTGCTAAGTTAGGCAAAAATTGTTTTCCAATTTGAAAACGGAAATCGCGGAAAAATTGATATTTTTCTATTTTCGAAAGTGAAATTTACTCTTTAGATTTCCCCGTAAGTTTTAGCTAACACTCCATTTCTCTCAAGTTTTGTAATTTTTTTTATCAATAAATGATCCAATCATAAATTCCTTTGAAAATCAAAAAGCTCTATTGCCAGGCTTTTTTCTTTGAAATTCGAAAGCTTACCTCTTTTCAAAAAACAAATTCAGCATTTCTCTTACTTTTTCTTTGCGTTCATTAGCTCTTTTTCAACTGCCTATTGGTTGTATTTTGTATTAGGAAGGCAAAAAGGCAAATCAGACGAATCAGGCAGGCGAATCAGTGTTTTGCATCCTTTGCGATACAAAATTTTATGGCTATCTTACCAGCAAATGAAAGAACAAATCAAAATTGAAAAAAAAAAATTCAAACAAAATGTTTTTTTTTGTCGAAAATTTAAGAAATTGAAAAAAGGACGAAAAATTCCTGAATCAAAATTATCTGCACCATTAAAAAATTTACCAAGAGCTTCAAAATTGCTAAGAAGAAACCGAAATTTTTCGTGGGATCTTAGCCGACAAAATTAACAGACACGAAAGTCTAGAATATTCGAAAATTCTTAGTTGTGACAAAAAACAGGACCCGACTAAAATCAAACTTCTGGGATTTGTCGCTTCAAGCATGAGTTTGAAAAATTTTGAAAGTTTTTTTTTAATGTCAGGAGTATTCTGTGCATTTAGTGCAGCCACTGCACTAAATGCACAGAATACTCCCGAGATTTTTTCGAAAAAATATTCAAAATTTTTGACGAACAGCGTGAAAAAAACATCTATAAAGAAGAAAGATTAGACAGAACATCATGGAACTTGATTACTTGCCCAAAAATGGAACAAACTGAATTAATTTTTAATTCGAAAAAATTGACCAAATTTTGGGCAAACTCGGGGATGCGGTAACTAAGCCGACAAAAAAGTAGACAAACAGAAGTCCGACAGAGAAATATTAACGCGCGAACCATATTCCGCCTACAAAAAACTTGTCCTGGCCGAAGCATTGACTCTTGTCTTTACAGGCAGGTGCGTGTTACCTCTTCGCCATATACCCGAAATATCGACTGGCTTTAATTTCATTTAAACCGAAGTTAAAATGATTCAAGTAATTCTGTTAAACTAGTTGTTAACCCCAAAAAAACTATGTTTAGGTTTGGTAACGCTTGCCAATCACAAGCTCAAATATAAATACAAAAAAAACTCTCATCCTGCAAAATTCAGCCAAAATCAAAAACTGATATTTTCAATATTTTGTGTGTTCAGTTTGAAATTTTATAGGCTGGTTTCAATGCATAATATATGTGATATAATCAAAGCATCATTAATTCAAAATTTCTGAATCACAACGATTTCTGTCACTTGTGTTTGGTTATGAACAAGAAAAAAAAACTATGGATAAAACATTGATTTATGGAAAACTTATTGCTACCAGCCTACTATCAAAAAAAATACTGCCCTCCATTTTGTTAGCTTTGAATTGAGTTTGAAGCAGTTGTTGTGCTTTCACTTTTTAGTGCATTAATACAAAGTGCATCCACAATTTGTTAGTTTTGAATTAAGCGCCTCATACGAGTTATATATAAGCAAAAAATTGTCCAAATAATAATTTACAATTTATCGTTTTATTTATTGGGGAGGAAAGAATAAAAAATTCCAATACTTGAACACTAAAAACTCAAGTTCTACATATAAAAAGCACTAAGCATTCAAGCTGTTTTTTTGGATATGTGGATTTGCGTGGAAATGGTATGATTAGTTGAAACATTATGCAATTTTATGCGAATTTCCAAAGCTCACTGGGACAAACACATGATCAATAGTAATGTATGGCAAGTGTTTGAAGGTTTGATGTGCCAACTCTTTTTTGCTGGGTTTTGCTTTGCTTAAATGCCTGTGACACCTATTTTGCCCTGTTTTAGCTATCGTTTTCAAATTGTTGGCCAAAGAAATTCTTTGAATGTTTAGCTATATCATATACAGCAATGTCTAAAAAAGCAGGGCAGCAAAGGGTAATGTAGTACAAGGATTATTCGTCCAACCATAGATTCAGATATCCGGCCATCTATCCTTGCGTCTGTCAAGCCATTCATCCATTTTTAAAATAAGGTAAATGTTTTTTTAAAAAAGCTTAAGTACCTAAAAGTGTTTTTAAAAAAAGCTCAAGAATAAAGTACAGATGGTAAGAAAGAAGAATTAGTTAAGACAAAGTAACATACAGACGAGAGTACAGTAAAGTACAGAATTTACTAAAGAAAGAGTAAGTACCCTGGAAAAAGCAAGTAACCTGGTCATACTTTTATGTATGTATTTAAGAATAACTGTATTTAAGTATGGGAGTAAGTAAATAGGAGTAAGTAACCTGCTCATATTTTTATGTATGTTTTTAAGAAAAAATGTAAATAAGTACGGGAGTAATAAATAAATCAGTAAGTGGGTAAGTAAGTAAGTAAGAAAGAAGAAAGTGGGGTAGTAAGAAAATAAGAAATTAGATGAATAAGTAAGCAAGTAAGTAAGTAAGTATGTAAATAAGTAAGTAAGTATTTAGTCAAGTTAAAAAAATAAAAAAAAATGAGTAACTCAGTAAGTATCTAAGTAAGTACATAAAAAAGAAGGTATAAAAGTAGGTTAAAAAGTAAATCTGTCAGTCAGTCAGTAAGTAAGTAAGTAAGTAACTAGGTAAGTAAGTAAATAAGTAACTAAGTAAGTCAGTAAGTGGGTATGTGAATTGCTAAAGTAAATGAAAATAAAAAAAGTAAGATGAAGTAAAGCAAAGTAAGAATAGGTTTAAAAATTTAAAGAAAATATGGTAAAATGTAGTAGAAAAATCACATTCAAGATAGGTAGGTAGTGTAGAACAAAAATGAGTAAAGAAAAAAATAAGTGAAAGAAGTAAAATTAGGCAGTAAGTAAAGTAATTTATGCATGTTGTTTTGTCTGCCTGTTTTCATGTAAGTTTGTATGTAGGTATGGTATGTAAAATGTAAGTATATATGCACGTGAGTAAAGGAGTAATTTAATAAGTTAATTACTAAGAAAGTATGAAAGTAGGTATAATTAAATTAAGTAAGGTAAAAAAAACTAAAGTAAGTTAAAACAAATTAATGTTTAATAACAAAAATAAAATTAATTGAAGCAAGAAAGTATTCAAATTAATTGAAAAAACTGCAGAATGAACAGAGGGTGCTCGGAAGTAAGTAATAGATAAGAGAAAAAAGTTGAGTAGAGTAAAATAAACTAAGTGAGGAAGTAAAGAATAAAATAGAAAGTATGAAAATAAATTAGAAAATAATAAATAGGCAAATATGCAAGTCAGCAAGTAATCATTGAGCTAGTGAGCGACTCAAATCAACGCTATCCAAACGGTGAAACTGTTGTCTATACCACGAACTACAAAGAGACTGAAAAAATGCCGATAAGTCTCAAAATTCGAATTATTAACCTGGCAAAGAAAATCATAAGTTGCTCGAGATCGATGGTTTCTAGACAGATGGTGGTGTGCAAATGGCAAAGCTTGAGACCGCCAGTGTTTTAAAGGTAACTGCATGACATTGTGCAGCTAAAGTATTCAATGATAGACTCTTAGTTTTTTCAACTTTATGAGAAGACAGGAAACTGTTTCACTCAAATGGCCCAGAAAGCTATTGTGTTAGTTACAGGGCACCATATTACAATACGGTGGACACTCTTGATATGTCTGCTTTTTAATCCGGATGCATTGTGCAAAATACCATGCAATCGCAAAAACTTGGAGTTGTTCTGGTATTTTTCTAAGGAACAGTTTCTGAGACCAATAAGGTCTCACTGTAACTCAAATGTCGTAGTTAAGCTTATTAGAATTAACACAAAAAACAAGCCGCTTGAAATTGTTTTCATCGAATAGAACTGTTTTAAGAAGTTTGATTTATGGACATATATTTTTTGTGAATAATTTTTAAATCAAATGGAGCAACTCACATTTTACCAATTTCACTGTTTTTGCCAATAAATACCTCTCCAACCTGATAAATTTTAGCCAGTAGAGGTAAGAGATACCTAGCAGATACTTTTTAGACTCGTCTAGATTTCAGTAGCCAATAAACAAATAAACCGGCTTTTCTTTTGTTTTTCTAAAACTGTGCCAAGTTTTCACAAAACGCCTGGCGCATTTTCCCATCTTCTTTTCCTCTATTTCCTTTTAATTTTCCCTTTTTTTGTCTTCCATTTCCTTCTAGAGGAGCGCGACATAACATTCCTCTCCGAATTAAAAATTTAAAACTTTTGTATGTCAAAAATCTTCTAAATTGTAAAAGCTATTTATCATTATCTTGTGTACACCGAATTCCCTCTAATTTCAATTTTTTATTTTAAGATTTGACAAATTTATCATTTGCTTTAATTTGCCCAGAAATGGCCACCGACTTTGGAGAGTGATTTGAATTTCTGCCTTTTCCCATAAAAAATAGCAAGAGTTGTCGAAATAGTTTACTGCTGCCCACAGTTAAGCTACGCTCTTAAAATTGTCAAAATTGTCAGTTAAGCTACGCTGTCAAAATACCATAAAAGTCAATTCAACTTTCACTAACTAATTTCAACTAAGTCAAAAATTCATTTGCCTGAAAAGCATAAAAAAATTAACACGATTCACACAATTAACCAGGACCAATAATTGGGACACCAAAAAATGGAATTTGAAAGAAATTTGTATCGTACCCTTGTTATTAATCTAAGCTTAGTGAGATCATAAGAAGGGTGTCTACTGCTTTTTGGGTGAAAAACTTCTTTCGCTCACAAAATCCTAAGATTAAGGATCTCTTTTCTAGGATTTTGCTTTGCATAGTGGCTGATAGGGCTTCGTTGATTGTAACAAAATTTACCTTTTTTTTGCTCAACATAAAATTTCACAAACATTAACAAAAATTATTTGAACCTTTTCAGAGAAAAATGAGAAAAACATGCTATGTCAAATTTTTGAATAGTAGATGACCTTTTAGTGATTTTAAGAATTTCTTTCTCACTCCGGCCGAAGCTGAACGTCGCTCAACTTGTTGCACATTCTAGTTGCACATTCTTCTTTGTTTTGTCAACCCGTGAAAAACTTTAAGCTTTCTTGTTTCAAGTTTCAACGCCGTGATATCTTGTATATTTTCTCTTTTCAGGGTCGTCTATAAATTCCGAACTTTTTTATAGACTGCACATTTAATTGAGCTCCACACAGAAAAATCCTCATTTAAATGTATTGAAAAAAACCACCAGCAATCGGAATTTTTTAAACAAATTTTGTTAATTTCGCATGAATATCGAAGTATTGCCAGAATAAATGGGAAGAAAGGAACACGAGTCATACAGTTTTTAATTTTCAGAATTGTATGACATGCATTTTCTCATGGTGACAAAAAGTTTCAAAATTTTTCAAAGTTGCCCCTTCAACCCTGAGTACACGAAAGTTGTAACCTCGAAACTAGTCCTGGGTAGCATGATTTGGGAGCTTAACAGTAAACTGAAAGTAGAAAATTTGAAAAATCAAATGCGTAAGGATTAGTTTTTGTTCAAACATGGTTCAGCATTTTCTTTTTCAGGAAATTTTTATCTTGGATTGCTAAAAACGTAATGAGGTATGATTTAATTTTCTGAGCAAAGTTTCAGTTGAAACATCTTTTTAGACCAGCTTGTAGAAGGTGTTACGTAAATTAAGCGCATTTTGAAAATACGGAAATTTTTTCCCTACCAAACCGATTCTCTTGAGTTTGGTATCAATGGGTAGTTAACTAAACACGCTTCCTAAATACATTTTTAAAAGTCCACTTTTAAAAATACTTTTTATATACAATTAAATTTAAAAAATCATTCAAGCAGCTGCTGAAAATGCCGACAAACCATAGCTTGGCTTTTTCATTTGTTAAACGAAGTTTCGAGATGCTCTCAAAACTTCAGCACTTGTGTTTGCATGTACAACAAAAAAATTTCACAAGCAACAAGACGACAAAAGTATTTCACAAGTTTTGAGCAAATTGTATTTTTCCGGAGTTCAACTGTCTGTCTGATGGAATAAACCGTTCGTATGGATTTTTCATATATGTTGATTATGTTAGCCTAATTTACGAAATACCTTGTTTTTTTTTGAGAAAAAAAATCTCTGAATTGTTTTCTCTGATAATATACTGAGCCCTGAATGATGGAACTTTTGTTAATCAATGATTCTGACCTGAAAATTCAAATCAAGTTTGTTGGTATGATAATAGATGGTTCAGAGTTGCATAGAATTAACCTATGTTACAACTATGCATTTAAAGCCTTGCTTCAAATGAGTAAATTGGCTCGTTTTGCTTGTAGTTTAGGCGAAATTATTGTTGATTGAAACTAAAACCATTGAGCTTTATATCAAATTCGAGAAAACATCCAAAAGAAACAAAAAAGTGCCGATGTAATTTTAAAATGCCTTACAAAACATTCAAAAAGGAAAAGTTAAATGCAAAAATCAGTAACATCCACTTTAGACCTTCACTGCCAAATGTCCCCAAAAGCGTAAACTCTTTAATAGACAACAAACTTCAAAAAAAATGACTGCTGCTGCAATTGCTTAACGTTTCATCTGTCTACCATTAATCAATTTTTACACGGTACGCAGTACTAAGTTGAATATTTTTGAAACTCCAAAATTGTCACATATCCTTGAAAAAAAGGGCAAACAAATCATCGTTCTAGTACATTTCCACCTCGACTTGCTAAAATCAATAACAAGCTTCAACGGAGTTCTCAATGAGAACTTAACATTTGCGGCTGCCATTGAACTACTCGACGGCTTCATGATTGAGTTCGAATGTTCCAAACCTCGATACTGAGAGCAACCCGAGTCGAGATTTTTCACCTAAATTGAAGCAAGATTTGAGCGGTTTGAGTGGTTTTTTTAGACAATTACGCTCAAAATCTTGCTTCAGAATGAGCGGTTTGAGCGGTTTTTCAACTCTTTATCTAAAAAACCGCTCAAAAACCGCGCAAGATTTGAACGGTTTTGAGCGGTTTTTTTTAGATAAACGGCTCAAAATCATTCAAATTTTGCGCGGTTTTTGAGCGGTTTTTTTAGATAAACCGTTCAAAAATCGCTCAAACCGCTCATTTTGAAGCAAGATTTTGAGCGCAATCGTCTAAAACAACCACTCAAACCGCTCAAATTTTGCTTCAAAAGAGGCGAACAACCTCAAATTGGGATCCCTTCTCGAGAAGACAGCGGGCATGGAAGATTATCTAACAAAACCGTCGAGCAATTTTTTTAACGTTCCAAAATTTTTTAAAATATTCAGCGGGCTGAAAAAAAAAGAAAGAACTTGATAGGTGAGCAATCGCATGCAGCCCACTCTAGCACAGCGCGGCATTATTTTTTCTAGAACTATAGCAACATGATGCCAGGCTTGATGACAGAGAAGAGAACCAACAGAAAAAATCTCTCAAATCGCCCAAACCACCCAAACTAAGGCATCAGACTGTGTATAGTGCAATTTTAATGCAGATTAGAGATAAAAAGCAGGTTTGAATATTGCAGTCCTGTAACAGTGCTGCCCGTCACCTATACGCCAAGCCAACTAGTATATCCCGAAAAGCATGAAATTGTTTGGTTAGCAAAGATATTATTCAAAATTTGTTGTCAGCTGATAGTTTTTGATGAAAAATGACATAGCAATCGTAATATTAAGCAATTGATGTACAAAAAATGAACTTCAGAGAAACGTTTAATTTTGTCCCAGAGTTTCCCAAAAAAAAAGATCCCAACTGCAGTATTTCGATAACTACTAGTTTAATTTTCATGGAAAGCAAACTACATTTTATAACACCTAACTCCGATTGAAAACTAAATTCTGTATGGATATCCATTCAATCCTATTAGTTTTGGCTTACTACAAAAAGCACATAAAAGCAGTCAACAATGTAGGTCATGCCCTAACCCAATTTCAAAAAATAAAGTATTCTAACCCCTCCCCCCCCCCCCCTCTCACAAGAGCATCAATTTTATGGTGTAAATAATGGTTTTACGAGGTTAATTATG